GGAATTGGGGGAAGGGGAACAGACAAGTTGTCGTCCTTTTGTTCCTCAGTCTAGTTGTGGAGGACGTCGCCTCATGGCCCAAGTTGGCACCATCGTTGCACTCTTCCCGGGCAAGGCAAATGAATCACCAGCTTCTGGATGGCTGCTCACGGCGGCTGCTGGCTACACAAGGTAGCCCATGGCAACCCACTGCAGCAGGGGCTGCAGCCTACGCCGTCGCCGGTGACTCACAGCAGCCCAGCTCCAGGTTGAGCTGTTGCACAGCATCTTAGCTGTAGAGGGCAGTGTCACTGAACCTCATATGTGGGATCCAAAATGGGGTCCTCTGGCATCCCAAGCCAGCTGTTAACCAACGCGCCACTCGGCCGGCCCGACAAATTTATTTTTAATTCTATGTCTTTTGTCAAGAATCAGACCAGAATTATGAAAAGGTGTGATAAGTTCATAAGACTATGGACTAAGCCTTGTGACATGGGGATATTACTGTCTTGAGTGGGAAAGCTTGAAATAGGCAGGTAAGGGATGAAATAAGATAATGGAATCTTTCCACTGGCTAGAAAGATAACTAGATACACCCCCTTTCACTGTATCATATTTGCGACTACTTCAGCCTACCATGTCCTTGTAGATTTGTGCCAAGCAGAGGTAGTGAAAAATGGCATTTGGGCTACCACACCCCATACCAAACCCTAGCAGATGCTACTAACTGAACATAGAATTCTTTCTGGCTAAGCCAACATGCGACTTTCAAAATCCTACTCAACAGTGTTCCAAACAATCACCAACAGTTGATACAAAATTAATTTGCCTAGCCCTACTCCACATTGTATGACTTCCAATTTGTAAGCAAAGTAACGTTTTTAGTTTCTGTATATTCTTACCAAGGGAATCCACTATAATACAAATCACACCTTTGCTACTATCGCATTCCAGTGTCAACTAAAACTGGCATTTCCTAATCAACAGCTCTTAGCATGTCCCTCCTTCTGACTCAACGTCTAATGCAAGGGTATCCCAGGACTGGTCTTTTCTCCTCCCCAGCCCTTGGATGATCTCAGTGCAGTCTCATCAGCCACCTTTCCACCACCAAGGGCCATGACTCGGCCTGGACCCTCTCAACTCTTGTTCTACACTTTCCATGGCTTCTGTCTGTGAACTTCTGCTACGCACTGCGGTCCTTCCACTAGAGATGAAGGGTCACCCTGCAGATCCTCCTCCTAGCCACTTCCTGAGGGACACTTTCACTTCAACCCCTCACCTTTACTTTGGACCCACAAAGTGACAAAAGCAAAGTCTTCATCTAGTCATCCAATCTCAATGTAGCACCCCTCTCCCAGTGTCCTTCTCTTTAAATCACCCATAACTCACTAGGCTCAGCCACAGAAGGCTCTTCTTTTATTTCCCTCTCTCTCTCTCTGTCTGTCTGTCTGTCTGTCTGTCTGTCTGTCTCTCTCTCTCTCTCTCTCTCTGTCTGTCTCTCTGTCTCTCTCTGTGTTTCTCTGTCTCTCTCTCTGTCTCCCTCTGTGTGTCTCAGTTTCTCTCTCTCTCTCTCTCTCCTCCTCCTCATCCTCATCCTCATCCTCTCTCCCTCCTCCTCCCTCACTCCCCTTTTACCATCTCTGGCTCTTGTCAGAACTACAGGCTGCTTTATTTTCATTATCAGAATGTGTCTCCTGTCTGCCCTTCCTCTTTTCCATTTCCCTTCCCCTCCCCCCAAGACCTCCTGCCCGTGATCCAGCCTGGCTTTCAACACTTAGCCCCAGGTCAGCCCACCCTTCCTGAGTTCCCGCCTGTGTAGACGGGCTCTTTCCTTCTTGAGCAGCACTGAGCACCTTTCCCTCCCTAAGTGGGTCAGAGACTCTCTGATACTTTCGCTCACATGCACCACCAGTGCTGGGCTGAATGACTACTGTGTGCACAGCCCAGCTCCATGGGCATGAGCAGTTATTAAATTCACTGCTTTCTAACCCACCTCCTGCTTTCAGTCACCCCAGGTCACTCGTATTCCCACCGCCATGGAAACACCTTTGTAATTAAAATACTCTCCCTTCTCTCTCCTTTCTCTCCAAAGCCACATCTCCTGAGCACAGCTCAAATGCCACTCCTCCCTGGCTATACCTTTTAATATTAATACCGTCCTCTCTGAAGTCCCTCTGCCCTCACATGGCTCCCCACCCTTCTGCATGTTCCCATCGCCACAAGTCGATCTCAAGACAAAGACCGCGACTTAAGGGGAGGAGTCAGCCTGTGCAAAGGCCTAAAGGCAGAGTTTCAGGGACCACAGGACCCGTGGTCTGCCCCGCATGCTGCACCAGGTCCTGATGGGAGGTGCACACGGGGCATGGCTTTTGTCCCGTGTCCCAGAAGCAGATGTCCAGCAGAGTGGAGGGAGGGGCTAGGGCCCAGGGCAGAGTTAGGGGCCTCGTGACAGCCTGGGGCTGATGGGAGTCCCTTCGAGCCCAGCAGGATGGCTGTGGGGTCTGCGTAGGAGTCAGAATGGATAGCTTGGAGGAGAAGTAGGACCTTACCAGAATGTTGCCCTGACATCGGCATCCTTCACGGGAGAGTGGGTTGTTTCATGATCGGTCATTAAGTTTCTAAATGAAAACGTGTTACCTTTTAGGACATACAGAGTAGAGCCAGTACCAGTCACGGTGTGGGGTCCAGAAGCTGGTGGCACACGTGAAAGCTCAGGTTTGTCTACAGGTTTCAGGTGCCTAAAACAGAGTTGGAAGTTTATTGTAAAAGAGGGTTAATATTAGCCTATTTTTAGATCACAGGGAGTACAGTTTTTTGTTTGGTTTATTTGCCTCCACGCTGATTCATAACAGTTAGTACTCTAAGCCTTTTAAGATTTAACATGATGAGTTTCTTTAGTTCCTCTGGAGGATGGTCTGTATAGTCGCAGCTCAGTCCACTTTCTTTACTGCACAGACTGGCCCTGAGGACGGCGCTCTGTCTTTAGTGCCTATTTAGAGCATCTGGCCCGTTTGGTAAGAGGTGACATGGAGACCACCTGTGGTCTTGGTCCCCTGTGTCCCAGAAGCACTGTCACCTCACAAAGATGGCCCTTGGGCCTTACCTCCCTCTATCTGAGAGGCAGTTCACTGGGGATGACCATCGTCCCCACCTTACAGGTGGAGACATGGGCCCCTACTTAGGGATGTGTGAGGAGTGAAGTATTTATGTAACGTGTGCCAAGTGAAAGAGAAAGTCAGTGATGGAGGAGGTAACAGGTTAAAATGGCGGAGGTGTGATGGCGGCATGGGCATGGCGGCACTTGGGGAGAAAGCTACTTTAACCTCACATGAACAGGAAGGGTGAGATTGGGAACTGGCCCGCTGCACATGCAGCCCCAGAGCTCCTGGAGAGACAGTGCCTGGAAGGGACCAGGGCCGCCTTCAAAGGCGGGGAGAGGTCCATGTCCCTTAGGCAGGTCACCTCTCTTTCTTGGTCTCATTTCCTCTTCTTTGAAGTAAGTTAAGGGGCCTGTGCTTGTGTTATTTCTGTTGCACTTGTGTAAGGTAATAAACCTCATTGCCATACCCATGTGAAGACCTTGGTTTAACTCTGGGTGTGACCATAGTGGGAGACATGTACAGTCACACACAGAAACAGGTATATGCAATGCACACACCTAAACAAGCACACATATGTATGTGTATATATAGGTACATGTACATGTAGACATATACACACATACATGTGTGCACACATACATAGGCACATACACATACATGCAAGTTCAGATACACGCATACATGTAAAGATGCTCATAGGTGCATGTGTACGCACATACCTGTATGTGTGCACATGCACGGGTATACACATTCATGTATGAGCATGTGTGCTCAGGCACATGAACACACATGTACTGTAATCTGCACATTTATGTACACACGAACACATGTATACATACATGTGCATACACGGTACTTCCATGTTTTTGCACATATATACACAAGCATACAAATGCACCTACGTCTCCAATCAACTGTGCCTGCATGTACATAGCACACGGTCATGCACACATCTACACACACTAGTAGTCACACACATGTAAAAATACGCATAGTAAACACATACATGTGCACAGTCGACATGTGAACGCACACATGTACATACATGTATCTACATGTATGTGCGCACAAGGGCACACACATTTTTATATGTACACACATATCCACACACGTACAAGCACTGCCACATCCCAGAACACACATGTGCACACAGTGACATATGTATACACATAGATACACACGCATGCGTATATATGCATGTGTACATGTGCGAGTACCTGCACATATACGTAAATTCATATATGTGTGTGCACATGCATGTATGAGGTCACGTGCACTCGGGGAAACATATACATGCAATGCATATGCATATACACATGCATATGTGCATGTAAGTCGTTTCCATGTATGTGCATTGTACACACACACATATACACGATACATCTACTCACAAACATGCAAATGTGTAAACATGCCCATATGTACACAAGGAACACATGCATACCTACACATATACATATGTTTATGCGCACATGTACACTGCTTACATGTATAAACACACATGTTCACACGTTTATATGCACACAATTATATGCACATGGACATGTATGCACACGCATGTACAAGCACTTGTATACACGTGTGCACATACACACATGCATATATGTGCATGCTTAAACACATGTGTGTGCGCACCTGTACACTCATGCACACGTGATGCATATACATGTACATGTGCTCTCATGGAGGTTTTCATGTGCTCACTCATATACAAATGCATGTGTGTATACCCACATACATGGACATACATACTCACACATACCTGCAGAGAGCTCTGTACCACAGCCCATGTGGGGAATAGACAACAGCTACCCAGTGACACTTTTTCAATGCCCATGCACAAAGACACCAGCCCCTCCAAGCAGTTGCACTACACCTCACCTGTCCCACCTGCATATTAACAAGCGTGTTCCATTGCAGGCTGGCAGTCAGAACAATGGGTGACTGGAGCCTTCTGGGGAGACTATTGGAGAATGCACAGGAGCACTCCACGGTCATCGGCAAGGTCTGGCTGACAGTCCTGTTCATCTTCAGAATCCTGGTGCTGGGAGCTGCTGCAGAAGAGGTGTGGGGAGACGAGCAGTCAGACTTCACCTGCAACACACAGCAGCCGGGCTGTGAGAACGTCTGCTACGATAAGGCCTTCCCCATCTCCCATACACGCTTCTGGGTGCTCCAGATAATCTTCGTGTCCACGCCCACCCTTATCTACCTGGGGCACGTGCTGCATATCGTGCGCAGGGAACAGAAGAAGAAAGAGCGGGGTGAAGAGCAGCTGAAGGGAGACAGTGACCACGGCCAGGACAGGGCCCTGGTGCGGGACAACCGAGGCAAGGTCCGCATTTCTGGGGCCTTGCTTCGGACCTATGTCTTCAGCATCATCTTTAAAACGCTGTTTGAGGTGGGCTTCATCGCTGGTCAGTACTACCTGTATGGCTTTGAGTTGAAGCCAAAGTATACCTGTGACCGGTCGCCCTGCCCCAACACCGTGGACTGCTTCATCTCCAGGCCCACAGAGAAGACCATCTTCATCATCTTCATGCTGGCGGTGGCCAGCCTGTCCCTCCTTCTCAATGTGCTGGAGCTCTACCACCTCGGCTGGAAGAAGCTTAAACAGGGCATAACTAACCACTTTAGTTCAGACACCCCTGAATTCAGGATGAGGGCCACAAAACCTGGGGATGTGACCCCAACCCTCTCCCACTCTTTTTCAGCCTCAGGCTCTATGGGGTTCACACCTTACTACACTCACTCTGCTTCTTCCCTGGGACAGGCAATGACCACAGATAGTCCCAGAGCCCCTACATCATCATCAGACTTCACCATGACAGGACTGTCACGGTGGAGAGCCCTCCCTGACATGTTGTATGACAGCAGCCAGAACCTGTTAATGGCAGAGCCAAACTGGGGGGAGGCCAAGCAACAGATTCCTGGGAGGAAGGCCTTCCTGCCAGTGTCCACTTCTTCCTCCTTGACCCCTACAGGCAGCCCCCCACCACTCCCTCACAAGGCTGGAGCGGGCAGCAAAGAGCCTGTCCTGTTGGAGAATGGGGACAGCAGCAGCCTGGGAGACAGCAGATTGGAAGTGACCCCAGATGAAGAGGAGCATGCAGTGATCACCGTGGTGGAGATGCACATGCCTCCACCTTTGCTCCCCACAGACTGCAGATGCCCAAGTAAGGTCAGCAAGTCCAGCGGTAGTCGGGCCAGACCCAGTGACTTGGCCATCTAGTGGTGGTCTCTCCACACAGCTTTATAATGACCTCCTTTCTAGAAACCCAAACCCAAGTGCACTTCAATGGAGCAGGTAGAAAGCCTCAGGTGACAGCACTAGAGCGGGAGGAGGGGATCACTGCAGGGGTCAGCCTTCTGTGTCAGCGCTTGCTGTCCTTTACACTGGAGGTGCCGTGGGGAGAACATGGATGCTTTCTATGGGGAGGCGGGAGAAAGAGGGGTGCAGGGGCTGCTGGCCTTTGAAGATATTCACGGCCACCCCACCGCCCAGACCCAGCCGCCGCTGCAGGTGTTGATGTCTCTGGGGCGACTGTTCTGCAGGGCTGAAGGGCAGGTGTCTGCAGCCACATCAGTTCAGGGCATTGGGTTTTCTGTCCCTGAGCTCTTGGGGCTCTGGGCAGCCCAGACGCCAGCAGTGCATGTAGCCCCACTTCTGTTTGACACTTGTAGCTCAGAACTGACTTTCATTTGGGGTATTGGCCAACCTGCACTGAAAAAAGATTTAGAACAAGCCGATGAAGGGTCATCGAGATTCTGAACTTGCATGTGAAACCCAGGATGTCCAAGTACAGGCTCATGACAAGTGACAATGAGCAGCTCCCGCCCAGAGGCTGAGATCCTTGGGCGAGGGCACACAGGTGGCTGGAAAGAAAGCAGGTGGAAATGCAGCCACACTTGAGATCATTTTGAACAGCTTTGAGGAAGCGAACCTAAAAGTGGCCGGCATGCCTCTGTGTTGATTTCTAAATGACATTTTGTGCTTTGAGTGGTCCAGGTAGCCCTTGTCCCCACTTTGTATCTTTTAGGACACATGAAAGACATAGTACTCTTACAGTGGACACTGACCGAGAGGATGCCTCTTTGTTCCATGACCTACTAGTAATGATTTAAACTTTGTTTTGCAAGAAATGCTCCAACTTCCTGAGTCAGTTCATTACTCTGAGAACGTCCCAAATAAAATCAAAGCAGATTTTAAGTGCCTTTCAACTACTTGAGGTTGTGGCGTTTTTGAATGGGAGGTTAGAAGTTCACTCCTGTTGCCAGAAACATGACTTGTACACGTGAATCAGTGACCTACACTTTTTAACAGGACAAATAAATGTCTCCACGTTTCCCAACATTCTTTGTGGGCAGCCTGTTCCTTTCTACAGTGTGAATGAAGCGTCTGGATTTTATCCCTGTATCGTGTGAGTGGGATTTCATGCGCGTGTCTGCTTGTCATCCCCGCAGATCACTGCTCTGACAGTGCAGCTGGAAGGTGGCAGAATGTTCTGGATCACGCACACACACTGCCATGTCCCAGTCACGGTGTGTCTGAACTGAAGAGTAGTGGTGATGCTGAGCCTGGTCCTCGTCACACTTCTCACCTCCATCGGTTAGGGAGTGTAGTAACTCTTATTCAGAAAACACCCTACCCTTTCACGCTGATCCATCGCTTTTTATGAACCCCTTTAATTTTTGCTGATTCTGTTGCGACCCACCAACAGTCCGATGACAGGGCTGTAATTCCTGTTCTCAGATTCATGTGAGCACCTTGTTTATTTGTGCGGTCCGCTGGCTGTGGGACGGGCTGGGCATGTCCCCGGTGTGAAAAGCACTCACTTCCCACGAGGGTCCTGAGCCTTTCTCAGGTGGTGCTCATTGGGGCTCTTTGGGAAAGTTTGCCATCTTTTTGTTGTGAGTTATGCCCTTCAACATGGCATCACTTCTTTCATACCAAAGGGTGCACTCTAACATCCTCAACAAAAAAATACATTTCCATTTATAATGAATTTTAAATACAGCATATTTGACAAAATTCAGATTATTGATTCTATGGTCAAGCATATTATTTTAATGATTTCTCAAGTCTGAGAAGAGATTTTATTATTGAAATCTTTAAGAAACAAATTCTGTAACTACCGAAGCACGAGCAGTATCAAATGTTGGCTGCAAGAATATATCTTTTATTACTGCCTTTATTAGACAGAGAAGGGGCTGGTTTGGATAAGACACAAAACAGCAGAAATGAATACTAACAGTTTGGAATTCATCTATTGGGCAAATCCAACTAAAGCTGAAAATGGTTCTTTCCTATTCATTTTCATTGAAGACCTCATGAAATTAAAATCTATTTTTAAATGATCTTTAAAAACTCTCTTGGGAAACATTCCCTGATGAAAAACTGCTTGGGGATTAAGCTGCTTTTCTGGGTTTGCACATGTGCAAACGGAGACAGTGACTCCAGAGTCATGTTCAATATGGAAACGAGGCCCCACTCAGACATCCAGGTTTGAATAAATATGATGTTGACTAGGAGAACACCAAGAGCCAAAGATAAGCCAAATTCTAATACCAGCCCAGACTCTAACTTGCATGTCAGCTTTAGAATGAGTCCCTTATGGAGGGGTGGGGATAGAGGGTGGGAGTGGGTAGAGGACCAGGGAGGGGTGCTGTCAGCACCCCTCTGTGCCTCAGATGGGTTGGGACCAAATCTGCGTGGCCCATGTAGTAGGCACTTAACAGTGACCCGATGAATGGATGAATGGATGACTCAATGAATGAATGAATGAATCTCAAATTCTGCTTGGCCATCTAAACTTCATCTGACACAGATTGGAGCATCAAAGAATATGATATCAGAGAGGCTGGATCCCCTGCCAGGGCTGGCTAATTCTCTCTGTACAATCAACTTTATTAAGAAAGAATTTGTGTTTGCCACATGGATATGCCAAACGTGGTTCACCACACTCAAGGATTTTTTTTAATCACCCCATAAGGTCCCTTGTGCTCCTTCTAGTCAATTCTCCTTCACCACCAACTTCAGGCAATCACTAATCTGCAATATGGCATTATAGTCTTTTCTAGAATTTCATATAAATGGAAACATGCAGTATGAACTATTTTTTCTGTCTTTTTTTAGTCAACATGTTTTTAAGATTCATCTCTGTTTTTGTGGGTTTCAGTAGTATTCCTTTTTATTGTTGAAAATTCCATTATTTGTCCATTCACTAGTTAATGAACTTTTGGGTGGTGTATTAGTGGTCTCCGGAGAGGAGGGGATTATATATATCTATATCTATATATCTATATTTATATGTCTTTCTCTCTCTTCTCTCTCTCTGTGTCTCTCTCTCTCTCTCTTGCTATATATAAATTTTAAGAAAGGAAAACACTATTAAAATTGTATTACTCAATATATACCAATAACAAAAGATGAATACAAGTCATGTGTACATTTTTTTGGCACCGTTGGGTGTGTGTGTGTGTGTGTGTGTGTGTGTGTAACTTATTGCAACAATGCTACTAACATTTTTTGATATCTAAGGGATTATTCATTATGAATTTGTACCAACTAGACAAACAGTTAACCAAGTTTACTATTTGGAAGTGCTGAAAAGGCTACGTGAAAAAGTTAGGCAACCTGAACTTTTCGCCAACAATTCATGGCTCTTGCACCGTGACAATGCACCAGCTCACACAGCACTGTCTGTGAGGGAGTTTTCAACCAGTAAACAAATAACTGTGTTAGAACACTCTCCCCACTCACCTGATCTGGCCCCCGATGATTTCTTTCTTTACCCAAAGATAAAGGAAATATTGAAAGGAAGACATTTTGATGACATTCAGAACATCAAGAGTAATCCGACAACAACTCTGATGGCTATTTCAGAAAAAGAGCTCCAAAATTGCTTTTAAGGGTGGACTAGGTGCTGGCATCAGAGCATAGCTTCCCAAGGGGACTACTTCAAAGGTGATATTCAGCAAGAAGGTATGTAGCACTTTTTCTAGGGTGAGTTTGTGAACTTAATTGTCAGACCTATACAGCTCACCCTTAAACAACATGGGTTTAATTACTCCAGTCCAAACTTACATGCAGAGTTTTTGCAATAAATACTGTAAGTGTATTTTCTCTTCTTTATGATTTTCCTTTCTCTAGTTTACTTTCTTGTAAGAATACAGTATGTAATACACATAACATACAAAATATGTGTTAATCAACTGTTCATGTTATCAGTAAGGCTCTGGTCAACAGTAGGCTATTAGTAGTTAAGTTTTGGGAGAGTCAAAAGTTATACGCTGATTTTCAACTGCTCAGGAGGTCAGCACCCCTAACCTCTGCATTGTTCAAGAATTAACTATATGTACATATATAAAAACTGAGAAATTTTATTGTATGATTATAAAGGTAAACAAGTGCCAAGACCTGCGGTCCACAAGCTGGAGACCCAGGAAAGCCGGTGGCATAAGTTCCAAGGTCAATAGGTTTGAAACCCAGGAAAAGCCATTGTGTCAGTTTCAGTTTGAAAGCAGAAGAAAAACAATGTCCCATTTTGAAGGCCATCAGGCAGGAGAATTCTCTAGTCCTGACTTGACTGGAAAGTCAGCATTTTTGTCCTCTTCAGGCCTTCAGCTGATTGGATGGGGCCCACCCAGGTTAGGGAGGGCAATCTGCTTTACTGCAATCTAGCAATTCAAATGCTAATCTCATCCAGACACACCCAGAATCCTGTTTGACCAGATATCCAGGTACCTTGTGGCCCAGTCAAGTTTACATATAATATCAACCACCACATATGGTGTCCAGGTTGTGGACATTTGTGTACAAGTCTTTATGGAGGCACACTTTCAATTCTGAGACTGCAATAGCTGAGTGCCTGTTTAACTTTTAAAAGAAACTGTAAAGTGTTTGCAGGAGCAGTAAACAATAGACTGGGAAATGCCACTCTCAGAGTAGGGGAGTTTCAGGTAGAGCTGCTTAACTCTTGTCAAATAAATAAACATGGAAGATAAATATTTTCATTGAAAGTCAAGGAATCATGAAATGTACACAAAGGGACCTGATTATCTTACATGCTGTTTTTATACGACTATTTGATTACATCTTTGGTCATTAATTCAGTGGAAAAGGTAAGTCTTGTTACCTTTTGGGAACTTGGATTGTGAGGTATTTATGCCACAACAATGCTGCCTAACAAACAGTATCATACGACAGTAAACATATGCTTCATTTATAATGTGGCAGGGTCCAGCTTACCTGAGCTGGACTGTTGGTGTCGGTCGGATGTGGTCACCTTCAGGTTGGCCAGTTGTCCAGGCAGCTTACTGATCTTGACTGGGCGCACTCAGAAGGTTGACAGTTGCTAGCTGTCAGCAGACATAAGACACATCCTTAGGGAGACTGGGGTGGCTCTGCTCTGTTCCACGTGCCCCATATCCAGTAGGCTGACCAAGATATGCTCTCGAGGTCATGGGGGGGGAGGAAGAGTGGCAGTGGAGACACAGCAGCCCTTTTCCAAGCCTCTGTTTGTATCACATCTGCTAACTTCCATTGGGCAAAGCTGTCATGCAGACAGGCTCAGGGTCAAGGGAGAGGAAAATAGCGTCCTCTGTTAGTGCAAACTGCAGGCCCCCGTGGTGAAAAACACAGCTGCAGGCAGGGAGCATTGATGCAACCAATCTTCCAAACAAGTATATAGCGTTTACTGTGACAATACTGAAAAAATTAAAGTCCTACAAGAAAGCAAAGTCATCAAGAGGCTAGCATACAGAAGGAGAGCCTTCTTGGCCTGTGTAGCTGATTTCAATGCAGCTGGTTATTTTAAGGACTAGCTCAGCAGTTCTAGAACTACAGTCTGCACTAGAGTCCCAGCAGTCTGCTGCTTCATTTTAAATGTGTATGCCAAATATTTTATGCACAGAGGAGAGTATGCACGAGCTCCATCTAGCCAGTGTAAGGAATAAAAGCTGAACACCCAAGTGCCCACCATCTGGACTGAGAAACACAGTATTACTAAAAGCTACGAAGCTCCCATTTGGCTCTTTCTCATCATAAGAACCTTCCTCCCCACCAGAAGTAACTTCTATCCTAAAATTTCATGTTAATAATCGCCCCCTTTTTTCTTTATGGTTTTACAACATATGTATGTGTCCCTAAACAGTATATATTGTTCAGTTTCCTTTTACAGTTGACCCTTGAGCAAAGTGGGGGTTAGATGTTCAACCCCCTCCTCAG